AACTTCATCAATCTGTTAATGAATTTTGAATATTGGTGAACAATAATCTTAACTTGGTTTTCAGGCGTGTTTGACCCCCCCCCCAAAAAAAAACAGGAAAGTCAGTGTCAGTATTTAAATTTGTATTATTTCATCAGTTTATGTAAATTTATGCAAATTGAAATGATTCCACCCTTGCTGGACTTTACATGAATGTTACTTGCTTCCATTTTGGGGCTTTACTGCACAAGGAATTGATTTTTTTTTTTCCTCACTTCATTATAAATTTGTAATGTTCTGCTCATAGGCAAATCTCACACTGAAGTAGTTTTCCCCTAATACAAGGCTTTTCAGATAATACATTATCAAAGATACAACACATCAGTTCAAGAATAAATCTACCACAAGTTATTTTTGATAAGCTCTGATGGGTCTTGTTAGTTTTCTTCAGTTTTAACATAGTAGTGCCAGACATTGCCCTAAAAACAATAATGCTATCCATTTTCTTTTTCTTGGCAAATAATGGCAGTACAAAAAAGATGTGTGTGTTTACACACACACACACACAAGGTTAAGTCAAAACTTATCCACACTTTTACCATAACATATCTTTATATAATATTGATAATTTTTTACTTTCCTTTATATATATATATATATATACACACACAGGGTGTATATTGATAATTTTTTACTTTCCTTTATATATATATATATATATATATATATATACACACAGAGGGTGTCCATAAAGTTCGTGTGCACTTTAAAATTTTATAACTTTATTTCTATTTGTGATAGAAATAACCTGTAAAAAATGTTATAAAGTTTAATGTACCTAGTTTTAAGTGTAGTTAAAATAACTAGTGTGATTTCAGGCATTACTGTAAATCAGTTGGCAAATGTTTTCCATGAACTGCAAAATCGTATTACTCTTTGTATTGCTAATGATGGAGGACATGTGGAAACTTAAATAAAATTTCAATAAAACCTTAAAATATATAGATTTACTTCTTTTCAATTCTTTTTAGAAATTATTTCTATCCCAAATACAAATAAAGTTATAAATTTATTAAAGTGCCCACGAACTTTATGGACACCCTGTGTGTATATATATATATATATACGTTTAATATTTCATCAGTCAAGTTATGTATCTGTATATGCATTATTCAGAGCAAACAATTGTAGCCAAGATAGATTTCGCAGAAGAAAACATGGTAACTTTAACAAACATAGCATCTATAAAACCATTCTTGGTCAGCAACAGCATACATTTTAGTCACTTGTTTCAATATACGAAGCAAATAATCTTATTTGCTCTTTATGGTTACTTCAATATGCATGTGTCTATAGTTACATATATGTAAAATTCATTCAGACAACTCATAGCCATATAATGTATATTATTTATTATAAATTCTGTTGTGGCTGAGACAGTTATAAACAGGGTGCTACACAAAACTGAAAATAACACTGATATCTCACTTTAACAGATATATCTACCAAAATTACACAAAATATCTTGAAATAGTAAAGAGTAAATTTATTCCATAAAATCACCATTGACTTCAACCATAACCTCTAGATGACTTCATAATCTCCTGCAGCTCTTCTGGATGGTCTTCTTGTTTAAGTTGGTGAATGGTGCCATAATCCTTACCTTCAGTTTATCTTTGGTGTTACAAGGAGTTTTGTTGGTCTCTCGCTCAACTGCATACCACACATAATAAAGGCAGTTGCATCTGTGGAGTTAGGTGTCCAGATGATTATCCAGGGGTGATGTGATCACAGAAATTGTCTGACAGCCATTACTGGGTTCTCCTACTTGTGTGGTATGAAGCAGAGTCCTGTTGCCAAACATAGGGTCATCCAGCAGCCTTGCTCTTGACCCAGGGCAGCACTACTTCCTCAAGGCACTTGATGTAGGCCTCCATGTTGAATCTGAGGCCCTGTGGGAAGATGAATAGAGGCATAGCATTGCCATTACTAGTGATCACTTCAAACACCTTCATAATCACCATGAGGCTCATCCAACTCTTTCTGAATTCTCTGCACTGGCCTTAGATTAACACTCAAACACTTGGAAATGTTTGTATTGGAGCTCTGCAGTTGACAAAATCGAAAATAAACAACGGAATCCACGAAATTAAAAATATCTAATGGCGACAATTTACCCATCACACTCTATTTTCTACTAGTTTCAATGATTAAACTTAAGTGTTTTTTGTCTTATGAGGTTATTAAAGATAACTTCAAATTTCATTTCTGGATAAATTTTATAAATATTTATTTCCATTCAAGATTCTATTCTCATCATAAATGATCTAGATGAAAAAATAAGACCATATTTTGCATAAAACCGCAGGAAGGTCGAAGTTCTGTATTAACTGTTTGAGTAACAAGCCAATACCACTGATTTACCACTCAGTTTGCGTTTCAATTATTTTCAGTGTTTAACATGATTATCTCCCTTAGACTGTGCATTTCGAACTCAAACAAACTGGTTATTGCCACATGTCGGACTTGTTTAATCTTAATCATTTCTTTGTAAAAACTGTGAGAAAATAGATGGAAAAAATATCATTATTAATTGATCAAATAATAACAATAAGACAATATATATTTTTATATGTTTCTTAACACTTGACAGATTGTAAAAATCTTTTTTTATAAGATTTTATATTATTTATTTGAATTAAAAAATTACCTCAGTTGAGAGTTGTAAATTTTTCTTTTTTATCTTTTACAAATACGTTGATGTACTTCTTTATTTTTCTTCTATGTGCTATATACGTCTAGGACGTTGGCAATCATGGCTTTCCACAATTTCTTATCCTTTGTAGCTTTTAATAAATTTTGTCTTTCTGTTGTCTCGCTTAAACCTTATTCCACTATCCATTTACTCAAGCCCACTTGGTATACGTTGTTTTCCTCTGTTCCTCTTGCCTTCAATATCTCCTGTGAGTACCAAATTTTCCAAGCCCTCTTTTCATATTATGTGCCCTAGAAATTTCTTCCTGGTATTAAGTAAGTGTCTTTTTTGTTTCCATTTTTTTTATAAAACTTTGTTGTTACTCACATCTTCAGTCCATGGTATCCTCAACATCCTCCTGTAGAATCACATTTCTGCTGCCTCAAGTCTCTTCTCCATCTGATCCAGAATTTACAGCCATATACAGGACTGATTCTTCAGAACAGTTCAATACTCTATTTTTTGTTTCTCATGAAATATTAATTTATTATTGTATTCATGAAAATTTTTGAAATTATGAATGCAATTTTGGCTAACATGGACTTTTGTACCCACAAAAAAACAGAGTATCAAAAGCACAGATTTTCCTATGACATTGCTTTTATTTTAAATACTCCTTGGCAATGTTTATTGTTTTAAAAAGTGATGATTAGAATCGTAATAAAACTTAAACATATGAGAAAAGTGAATTTATACATTTTTTTTTTTGTTCTTGAAAATTTACAATAAAAATGTTAAAAATTATTTTTTTATTAAATTGTTTATTTACGAGAATAACTTTATATTTACAACATTCTAAAAACTGATAGAATTAAAACTAATGCAATGCAATATTTATCATTTACCAATTTATAAAGAAATAAATATGAAAACAAGTTTTTATTCTTAAATTTATAAACATTTACTAAATTATTAAAATATGTGAACCAGCTATAATGAAATCCTTATTATTTATAATTTTATAAAGATTGAATCAATTAGCAATTAGCTAATGTTTTGCCAAGTATTCCAATAAACAATCTAATAAATAAATAGTGCTTATTATTTTTGTTGTCAATTAAGAAAGAAAATGCATGAATTCACTTTCATATGTTTAGGTTTTATTACAATTCTAATCATCACTTTTTAAAACAATAAACATTGCTGAGGAGCATTTAAAATAAAAACGGTGTCATGGGAAAACCTACCCTTTTAACACATTTTTTGTGGACCCAAAAATCCATGTTTGCTGCAATTTTGATGCCAATTGCTTCAAGTGTTCTAAAAAAGTTTTCTCTCTGTAACAAATTCTGTAATATCAACTCATAAAAATACATGCATTTATTTTAATCCATTTTCGTAATGTAGAGCTTAATTTTAACATCTTTTTTAAAAATATTTTTAAGAAACCCATGCTTACATTAGATTTTAGTGTTCATGTTTTCATTTTCTTGAAAAAAATTTAACTTTCTTGAAGTTATTCTGAAATTCTACTTTTGGTTAATTTTTGTGAACCACTTGTTATGATTTTACTGCCATGATATAATGCTCTTCAGGACTCAAATGGGACCTACCATATTTTATAGACAACTACAGTATGGAGCAAACCTCCACCAACATATAATTATTTCTATACCCACAGAAAACTATCAAATTTTTATTGATTACCTTGAACTCTAGCAACCCCATTTCTAATACTTGTTTAAAAGGCCCAAAATTAGGTTATTAGTTTTTTCTTTTAATTTTCTTTTCTATATTGACAAAAAATCTTCAGCTATGAACCTTCATAATTACCTTAATTTATATTAGGAACATAAATTTTATTTTAAACTTTTTGGAGCACACATTTGAAAATGTAAAATACAAACAGTAATAAATACATACATACATTTTTTTTACAATAAATGATAAGCTGTTATATTGATTACATGACTGGGTATTATTAGCTAAAATATCAAATAGGTTTTTCTGTATGACTTTTAATCTTGTTTGCCTACAATGAAAAAATCAAAGCAATTACTTTCCTTATTTTGGTTACAGCAAAAATTCATTGAAGAAAAATTATAAGAACAATTTGCTTGAATAGGAAAAATGTATTGGAAGAAAAGACATAACTTTGGCTTGTGGCTAGGAAAAAGTCAGTGAAAATACATATTTTCATTCAAAATAGGAAATATTTTTAATGAAACAAATAATAATTTAATTTATTTAATATATCTTAAAATAAAAACAATATTTAATTTAATGAAATGTTATTAATTATTCATTGCTTACTGCCGCATCATGTTGTAAAACCGGTTCCCATATGATCACCAAAGTTAAGCAATATTGAGCCTAGTCAGTACCTAGATGAGTGACCACTGGGGAATATCAGGTGCTGTAAAACTTGGATGTACAGTGGATAATGGCTTAGAATTGTTAATTGGGTTTGTCATATTCACTTATGCCCAAATACCCTGAGGAAAAGTATAAATCCATCCCTTCTCCCTCCAGCTATGGGTTAATTAGTAAGGCTTGTATCACTAAACCATTATTATCTCTAAAAAAAAGATTAAAATAAAATATTTTCTGGCTTTAAATAACCTACAAAGGGTTTATAAGCCACAGAAAACAAATCAATCAATACTTATTCATAACAGTTTAATAATCTTCTTTAACTTAAAATAAATAAGTTTTTTTTATCTAATCACCAAACTTTACCTTATCAGTGTTTTATTTTATTTATAGTAATTAAAGTAATATTTTGATAAGCTAGCTTATCTAATCACCAAACTTAATCCTATGTAGTATTAGATTGGCGGCAAAGTCTCATTACGGTTGAAATGGCTAGATGTAACTGTAAGTTCTATGTTAACAGTTCCTTCTATCACAATTCTCGCTTGTGAACTCTCTTCCAGCTTCTTGTCAACTTTGCAATGTCAATCATTATCTTCTGTCATTTTTAATTCCTTGTTCTCCCTCTTTGATAGTGGTTTTTTTTTTTCTCATATTCTCAGTAACCTCTTGTTCCTAAGTGGCTTTATTACCTTGCTGGGGTGAAATGATTAAAAAAAATATCCTTAATCAGTATTTAGATGAGGGAACACTTGTTACTGTAAGAAGCTCATGACCTTGTGCCAGACTAAGTGATACTTAGTAAATAAGGATACAACTTAAATGAAGATCGATTTTGAAGTTTTTCTCCCCCCATTTTTTTTTTTTTTTTTTATTAAGCCACTCTAAGATATTCTATCAACCATGACAGCATGAAAGCATACATATATATGATTTCTCCTTCATTAACAATACCAAAATGGTGTCTTTTTTTTTTTTTAAACTTGAATTTAGAAACTCTTACAACTTACACTCCTTCTTTCTGGGAATATAAAATCAATAAAAGAAATTAAGACAATAGTGGAAAAAAAAACATTTTTTTTTTAGACTAAAATATCTTCCACATGAACTTATCATTAAATTAGTATTGTATTCCCAGGGTGGGGTCTATTTTTATATTTTATTTTGTTTTCTTAATTAACTTAATTTATTTTTGGTTTGACTTCCACTCTGTCAAAATTAAGAAACTTAGTCTGTTTGATGCAAACAATCTGAAAGTTGTGCTGAGTTTGGCCTGTAATAAGTACTTCCTCATTTTGGCTATGTTTCTCACTCTCTTTCTTCACCTCCTGCTTTCTCTCTCTCTCTCTCTCTCTCTCTTTTCCTTAATCTGTTTCTTTTGCTCTCTCTCTAGCTCCTGCCTCTTTCTCTTTTTATGTCTCCTCCACTGGTGCCTCTTCATTTGTCAACATTGGTACCACATCCGGTCAAACCAACAGCAAAAACAACTCTAGTAATCAGAATGTATAAGTGTTATTGGTAACTAGAAAAAGAGGGAGGTAGTGGTAGTGAAGATGGTATTTTGTGTGTGTGTGTGTTTTTATTTCATTGCTTGCTTACAGCTGTAGCTATCAGTCTGACTGACCAGTTTCACATCATGGCTCACATGGCCTGGCTTTCCTATAATAACTGAACTGAGAATCCAAATACTTTTACAACTTCATCATGCTTTCCGAGTTTGAGAAAGAATTTTTTGGGTCTGAAGAAGAACTAAAAAAACTTTATCTCTCCTCTTTGAAGCCTCCTTGCAATGGTAGGAACATTTTTCTTTTATAGTTACTCTCAGAAAATTTACAGATTCTTTATTAATATATTTTACACTTGACAAAATTCTTTATTACATAATTATGCATTTTATATTGATACAAAAGGAAATATAATATGACATATAACATCAGCACCATTTAATAAATATATGTTAAATATTATATGTATATATGAAAAAAACAATATATATATGTTGTTTTTATATTAATATATATACATATTATCCTATAATAATAATATATATATATATATATATATATATATATATATATATATATATATATATATGAATAATAAATTAATATAGAATATATAATTATAGATATATATATATATATATGAATAATAAATTAATATATAATATATGAATAATAAATTAATATATAATAGTATATAATTATATATATAATAGTATATAATTATTATATATATATATATATATATTATCCAGTGTTATTGGTGAGGATAATTTATTAATATATATACTTAATAGCTCTGTTGTATTATATTGAGCACTGTTTTATTAACACCAGTACTATATGTGCAATATATTATATATATATATATATATATATATATATATATATATATATATATATATATATATATATAAAAAAGAAAGATTGGCATGTTATTCTGTTTATAATATATAGAAAAAGAACTTTGAGAGATAAAAAAACAACAAAAATAATAATATTAACAAGATTAATAATATTTAGTTGGTTATTATTATTAGTATATTAGTAGATTTTTTTTTATCAAATTGAAGCATGAATCATTACTATCAGAGAATTTACAGATATTCTTATATTTTATACTTGATAATTTTCTTTATTACATAATTATACACTTTATATTCATATAAAAGGAAATATAATATGACATATAACACCATTACTTTGATAAGTATTATTATTTGTATATGAAATATCACTTAAATGTTATGAATACCCATATCTGTGTAGACACATCATCTATTTTAACAGTGAGTCTGAATATTTGAGAAATCTTATTAAAGAAAATGATCCAGATTTTTCAAGTATTCAGGCCAGTAAACTAAAAAATAAAAATTCTGTGTAAAATAGACGGGCCATCTACTCAGATATGGCTATCCACAAAATAACATTTAAAGTGATAAAGATTTGTCTGATTAATAAATAAAAAATCCATTATTTGTTTAGAAATATATATATATATATATATATATATATATATATATATATATATATATATATATATATGTGTGTGTGTGTGTGTATATATATATATATATATATATATATATATATATATATATATAAGAAGCCATCTATGATAATTATATCAAACAGTTATTGTTATCAAATTAAAAACAGATTTTCTAAAAAATAATTTAAAGAAAATAAATTTAAATTTTCAGTTCAGTCTTTATTATTATTTTATCTAGTTGTTTATATAACAATTTAAATTGTTTCAATTTATATAGCCTTCGCTTACTGTTATTAATCATTTAAAAGATCCTGTCACAAAGTGATGACACTAATTTTTTTTTCTCTGTCGACAAATACACATGTATATGTATGTATATATCATCAGCAGTAGCTAGTGCTCATCAACTGCATGATAGAAGCCTTTCCCAATCCTCATATGATATCTGTGACTGTGTTATTCTTTATATTTTCTTATCTCCATCTTTTATCTACTTTTTTCTTCCTATGTTTGTTACCCAATGAACTCCAAGCAAGCAACCTATAGCTTCATCTGTGATCTTTTCTTCTTATGTGTCCTGACCACCTTCAGTGATATCTTTTATCTTGGTCTCTTCTCTAATGCATACATTTATTGTTCTTTTCATTGATATTCATGAATTATTTGAGTGTTTTTTCATGCAATTTTGTTAGTTCCCATGTTTTGTAATTGTACATTGTGTCTAGAATTATACTTCACTATACATTTTACATTTCAAGCATATTGGCTTTTCATTACATCTCTACTATTGCTAAATACTTTCCAATATTGTTCACCCTCTTAGAACAATGTTTCTGAACCTTTTTTAAGCAATAGCCCACCTAGGAGCAAATGAAAATATCATGGCATACTTAGAAAAATTTTTAAAGTGTATACATTTAAATACTATGAAATAAAACCACAAATTTAAAAACACACACACACACACAAATATAAACTTCAATGTTTCTATTCAACTATTTGTGAAGCTTATTTAGTGTAAAACCTGTGCGTGGTGGGTTTTTTTTTGCGATTTCTTCAATGTTTGGTTGAATGTGCGATAAGCAGACTTCATTTCTTCTTCAGTTGAGCATAGTCTTTCTAATTTTTTATTTCTGATGTTATTTAGGGTTGAGGTGCCTAATTCACATAAATAAGAAGTAGAAAATTGCAATAAAACTGATAAAGCCTTTTTAACTAATCTGGGATATTTCTTTTGTATTGAAATCCAAAATGTATCAATGGGTACCATCAAATTTTTTATTTTGAGCCCTCAATCACTGGAAATGGTTAAATGGTTTTTAAAAAGTTAAATTAAAAAAAATAAAAATACTTTTTAAAAAAAGAATGAACAAAGTATTTAAAATAGCATAATCGAAGAATAGTTAAAAGAATTATTTAAAAATAAGTTTAATACTTATTCATTTATTCAAATACTAATGCTGTACAATTACTACTTCCACACACATATATATGTATGTCGTGAAAATATTTTGTGGCACACTTAAGATGATAGCACAGCACACTAGTGTTCCCCATCACAACAGTTAAGAATCACTACCTTAGAATATGATGCCTACATCTCTTGCAGATAGGTAAGTCCCCATCCCCATCACCTTCCACCATCATCACTAAGAGATCACATTACAGGTGGATACTTGTAGACTTTGGTATAAACCTGACCAGTGTCTGCTTTTTTAACTCTAATATAAACTCAACCTATATCTACTGTTTTGACTCAATGTGTAGTCTCTGTTCTCCTCATTTATAATGGTAATTTTAAGATTAGCCATTTCCTTATAAGGAAATATTCTGAATACACTGACCAAGCAGCCACTGTTGATTAAAATTTATAAAAACTTTCTACTAAAAGATTTTTCTTCAAAATAGCCTTCTCTGGGCCACTGATATTGCTTTTTACAGTATTGACGGTGGTTAACCTCTTGTTTGAATATGGAATTCTATTCTGGTTTCTTGCTACCCTGCTATATATAATCTTAAAAAATTTAAATGCAAGATCAATTGCCATCTTCTCTTTTCACTCTTTCACTTTCACTTTTTTTCTTTCAGTCTCAATAAACACTTGCATCTTGGTGGCATTATTACCTTGCTTGGGGTAAAATGATTAAAATGAAAATGTAAATCAGGCCTACATTTAACTATTTGATTCTAGTGTAAACTTGACCTGTGTCTACTTTTTTGCCTCGAGTGTAAACTGGAATTGTCCCTACCTTTTTTTACTATAGTTTAAACCAGATCTATTTTAACCTATTTATTAATTCCTTGTGGTTTTTGTCCTATAATTTTATATCCAACATTATAAACAGAGCAAGGGTTGATATATTGTTAGATTAACTAATCTAAACTTAAACCTTGTTGTTACATGTCACTTCATTTAATTTCTATGGTATTTCTTTAATGTCCTTGCCTTTTCTAAGTATATGTATTCTTGAACTTCAAGTTTTTAATATTCTTCCAAAAGCTAAGTAAAGTATTAAGATACAGGAAAATTTAGTTACAAAGAAAAGAGTACTAAACTTATGTAATGTCAGGCTTCCTATATGTTAGTGAATGGTGGACAATCTCCTCACAGATGAAGAAGAGACTTCAAGCAACAGAAATGTGGTTCTACAGAAGGATGGTGAGAACATCATGAACTGAACATATGAGCAATAACCAAGTAGGGCATATAATGAGAAAAGAGAGCTAGAAGATATGACACTCACAGGGTGAAGGCAAGGGGGACAGAGGAAAACAATGGATAACCTACCTAATGAGTTTGTGTAAATGGTTTACAGAACAGGGTTTAGGAGATATAGCAAAAAGACATACTTTACTGAGCACTACAAAGGATGGGAAGTTGTGGAGAGCCATAATCATCATTTCCTGAAGGCACATAGCACATAGAAGAAAAGAAAAAGATTGTTATGGACATTTTTGTAACATTATAAATGAACATTACATTTGTTTTTATTTCTGTTGATTTTTTAAATCTTCATTGAGACTTTCTCTATTTAGGTCAGTTGGTATTTCTTTTAACTCATCCAATGTTTCTTATATTTGTACAATCATTGATTCTTTTAAATATTCTCCATGTTTATCCTAACTCCCATCCTTTTCCTTTTTCATTTTCTGGAAGATACTTTCAAGACCTGGCGTAAATAGTTTAGGTGAAATTGTATCTCCTTGCCTAACTACTTCCCCTTTGAGGCATGACCCAAATGTTTAGAGAATTTTAACAGATTGATCAGTTTGTTCATATATATATATATATATATATATATATATATCTTTTGATACTCAGAGCCGAAAGATAAAGAAAAGAAAGAAAAGGAATAATGAGAAAGTATAATGAGATAAGAAAATTGTGAAAAGAAGAAATAACCATGATGTACTACACATGTGAACATATGTACATGCGCAGACGTACACACATATGCACACAAAGAAAAAATCAATCTAACACCAAAAAAAAAAAAATATAAAAATAATCAAAATGAGAAAACTGACAGACATTTGCTGATACCTCCTGACAAGTGGACCAAACAATTGCACAAAGGTTCATCTACAAAACTTTGGAGTAGAGGCACTGAATATGACATCAATCAATTTTATATTTGCATTAATCCTATATATATATATATATATATATATATATATATAGAGAGAGAGAGAGAGAGAGAGATGATGATGATGATGAGACAAGGTAGAAAAGCTATAGACAACATGTTTTCAGGAGTATCTGTTACTTTCAGCTTCTTCAGATAAAGCAATTTCTAA